ATACCATTTACTTGATTGGATCTTCCAATCAAGTCTAGTTGCTCTTTTGGGCTATGTTACGTAGTGGTGTGGTATGTCACGATCGTTACAGGAGGCAGGCCCGGATAGATCCATACTACTTAACGGCCGTTAAGCCTTTAAACCAAGGATATTAATTTATTACGATGTCAAGTCCAAAGACTCAAGTATAGTGAGAAGATATATATTGTCTGATCGGTACTACCTGAAAGAGTGCCTTGGCCTTTGTTCACAACCCAGATATTCTCTTTTTAACAATCAGACATCCTATATAGTGTAGTGGTTTAGCATTCCAGATTTTCAGTCCTGATTGAAAGCCTTCTGGCGACCCGGGTTCGAACCCCGGTATGGGAACTTGAGAGAAACATGATTTTTTTTTTACTATTCCTAGCTGGTTACTGTGGTCAATGAACACCATATTTTCGTAGATTTGCCTCTCCGCTCAAGCTCGAGTCTGCAAGTCCACGAACTCGTTCTTATCATGACTACCATCATGGGCACTGTTTCCTTCTCTTCGGTGTCTTTTCACTCAGCACACGACGTAATCCTCTGCTCCATCTCGCTGTTCTATCTGGGAACATTCTTGAGAATCGCATTCTCATGCCACATGTATTGATCCAGACAACTAGGCTCCAGACCAGACCGAACTTGGTTGAGGAAATATCTTATAACCTCAACAAGGAACTCGGGAGCCGCAGGGTCTGTAGTGACAGTTTCGGGCATCTCCTTCAAAGCCCAGTACCTATCAAGCAAGGTCATGTGATCCTTTGTCCGCAGGACCCATCATCTTTTTCGCTAGATCCTCGGCCCACGAATCTGCTTCTGGCTTCTCCTAGCCCAACCTTGCAAGTTCTTTAACGCGCAAGATTGACATGGACTCCATAAACCATACTTTCCTGATGTTGTGGAGACGAGTCAGACGACCAAGCACGGATTCCACGGAATTGCGCGCCATGCGTCGCTGAGATACCAGGTATCCTATCGACTTTGAGGGGTCGAGGCTAGGGCCGCAGTCATCAAGTCGCACAAGCAGGCAGTCGACCTGGGGTATCTTCTGCAGAAATAAGAAGATGCAATCGACTTTATGACGAAAATCATTCTCCCATGTTCCGTGAAAAACGATGTCGACGATGAATATACGGAGATGGTGAGCGTAGCGGAGTATGGGCTGGAGATGCCTAAGGTTCTCATCGGATTCAATACCATTCACGCTGAACTTGGGAGCTTCTTTGGTCGGCCCGCTCCGCGCGACTATCGTGATATGCTTCTCCCGATACAGGATTGGGACGGCCTCTGCAAATATGGCGAGACAGGTGCGAAGGATCTCGGGGTGTAGCTTCAAACAGGATGGTTGGCGTCGTCGAAAGTGAGGTCGAGCCACTAGAGCGTGAAAGAAGACTTTCCGAAAGTAGTATGCGAAACCCATAGACATGAGGGTCAATTTCTCCGGTAAGCTGATGTGGAACGCCAAGGTCAAGAGCTCGCGGTAGATTAACAGGCGTATTTCCACGGGAAGCTGGAAGAATATCGAATCCCTTTGTTTAGACAGATGGAGCGTCCAGTCTCCATCATGCTTGATGAGGTCGTCGACGAATTTCGAGGTGGGAATTGCAACTTGCGCCGCTTGCCCGGGCGCTGGGTCGTTCACGTGCAGCGGTTTTGGTTCTTCCATTTGTATGAACAGATTTGTGCTTGTGTTGAGTGTTGATTTTTGGGATGGAAAAGCGCATGTGGGAAGAGAAGAGAGGAAACTGAGGAAAGGGATAAGAATTGTTTGTTGTTGATGTTTGAAGGGAGAAGACCGTAGATGAGTTTCATTGGCTAGGTCTCGCCTGCGAACGCCGAAATTTAGTACGAGCGACAGCTGTCTTTGGCCTCAGCAACTGGTAAACAGCTGCCGGTCAAAGGAGCATCGTTACCTTAGTCGCTGGTGAGAGTATCAGTTGTGATTTATGAGTTGGCAAATACTGACAGAACTCTCGGAATTGGACAACATATGGGTTCACGGTGTCCAAACGTCTAGGTAATCGATATTGCATTAGTTGGCAGAATACGTTGAGAGTTGAGATGACCTCCTTTACAACCTCCACTCTATCGAACGGAGCGAACGAACTGTTGACATGAACAAGACCACGATAGAGCTCGTCAATCAGATACATAGGTCCAGTCTACATTCGGAGCCATAGCCCATGAGCAAACATTTTAGATGACATGGGATGTCCAGAGCATGCGATGGCCATACATGGCCGGGATAACCGAGGATTCATATTACCATGGATAGAGTCACGCCAAAGAGGGCACCAGCTAGCCTTGCTCCCGCCCTCGTCTCGTCAAAGTCACGATGACATTCAGTCATGACACAACAATTGATGGTCAGTTAACAAAACTGGTTGAGACCGCGGCCCGTCACTCGGGAAGATTGCGGGTCACCGTCACCGTCCCCGTCGTCACTCTGCCAGCCTGGACCACCCTCGAGTCACAAGTCACAAACCGGCCCTCCAACCATTTGTTGTCCCCTCGAAGCACCTGTCCGCACTCACACCGAGGCCCTCCCACAAACACACCGCGACCAAATGTTCCGATAAGTTGCTTTGCTTGCACGACCTCTTGCAGGGTGGGACCCAGGTTGCTTGCTCATTTCCCAAGTCTGCCGTGCCATTTAGTCCGAACTTGCACCCTAATTACCTGGTAGTTTTCATCTCGTCGAATCTTGCGCACCGTGACACACATCGGTTCACTTCCTTCAAAAGCTCGACTGCGTCCACCCGAAACTTCTCGTCCCCGGCGCGCAACTTGAACCCACGTTCATTTCCAAAACACTGTCTTCGAACTTCTATCGCTCTACTCAGCTCAGCTCCGAACTTGTATAGCTCTTTTTCTCACATTACAACTCAACAAATTCCTGTCACACAATCTGCATCATGGTTGTCAAAACTACGGTCTCGGTCGCGCTGGCTGCGATCGCGCTCTTTGCTCCGCTAGCTAGCAGCCACATTATCATGAGCCTGCCACAGCCATACAACTTCAAGACCGACCCTTTTGTTCAGAAAGATCCCCTCGACGGGGACTCGTTCAAGTTTCCTTGCCAGGGCCGTGGACACACCGTCGACAGCGACATCACCACGGTCGTGGCCGGCGGAGCGCCCATGCCCGTCACCTTCACAGGCACTGCCGCTCACGGAGGTGGTTCATGCCAGTTCTCTGTCTCGTACGATGATCCCCAGGCAGCTGGTGGATGGAACGCGTCTTCCAAGTTCAAGACTATCTACACACTCATCGGTGGTTGTCCCGCCAGCTCCGCCGGCAATCTCAAAGATTCCGGCACTGGTGCGCTGGACAATGCCGATGGCCCGCACTGTGGCAATGACTCTGGGAAGGAGTGCATTCGCGAGTTTTTGATCCCATTCCCCAAGTTGTGAGTGTTACACAGATTGACTGTTCAAAGAACAATAAGCTAACTCATTGTCCTTCTCACAGTCTCAAGAATGGGCCAGCCGTTTTCTCCTGGACCTGGCACAATCGAGTCGGCAACCACGAGATCTACCAGTAAGAGTTTCTCTTCCCTTTCTCACTGATACAGACGTTCACTAACAGCTCCCCAGAAACTGTGCACCGATCATTATTACAGGCGGCACAGAAGACGAGTCTGAAATTGAAGCTCTGCCCGAAATCTTCCTCGGCAATCTCCCCGCCGTTCAGACCGACGTCCCAGGATACAAGCCCTGCCACCTCGGCCAGGGCCAAACGGTCAACTACCCGAACCCGGGCAAGTACGGCCGTGTCTTGGAGCCACCCACTGACCCAGAGGCCATTCCATCCGATTACTGCTCCGATGTTCCCCCCGCTTCTGTCATTCCCAAGTTTGTGGGCGACGACAGCGCGGCCGGCGCTTTTCCCACCATGACACCCGTTTCTAACATGACAAACCCTACACCTATCGGCTCTGTGTTTCTTACCTTGCCCACCGATGGAGGTATTCCTGCTGGGGACTATGGTCCCCATCCCACAACAAAGGGTACATAACATATTTCTCCTCAACATTGTTTTTTTCTTCCCTTCCGTCCCAGTCCACTGACTCACGTCGACAGAATCCCCCTTGCCAACAGAAAGCACAAGCATATCCTACGGCCACACCGTCACAAGCACATCCTACGGTCACACCGTCACCAGCACATCCTACCCCCACACCGTCACAAGCACGTCCTACGGCCACACCGTAACCGTAACCCTCCCGTCAAACACCACCGTAACGGTATGTCCCGCCCCGGGACCAGTGACTGCACAGTCATCTGCGTTTCCGACTCTCGAGCCGTACCCCGGGTATGGATACAGCTTCAGCGGCTATACAGGGAGCGGGCCCGATACCGCCAGGCAAGTACAAGAGACGACGTATACCGTTGTCGAGACCACGAGAGCGCCGTCTATTACCATCACGCTGAGACCTGTTGATTCGGCGCCTGTTGACCCTAGCTGGTTGAGGCCTTGTGGTTCGAGTACGCCCTCGGAGACGGATTTGACTGCTTGTTGGCATTAGGTCTGACGCGTAGGAATGTGTGGAGGGGAACAAAATGGTGTTATGAGATTGGCTGTCTGTTTGTCCGGTTGGGAGTTTCACGATGAAGTTAGGAACTGAGTGCCGGCGTGGGTAATGACGTGACGTCTTAGGTACAGGTATGGTTATGAGTTATTCGGTACTTCTATCAACACAGCATCAGGCTTTTGTGCATATGTATGCAGGTATTACTTCACTTTGTTTGCGTGAGTGGTGGACGAAGCATGTGCAGCCCACTTTCTTAGGTGCGGGATAGGGATTCACAACTTTGTTCTTTACACAAACAGTTTGTGCAAGAACAAACCTCCTTGTATTCTTGACCTAATTTAAATATCCGAATACAACTTGAACTAGCTGTTCGACTTATGTCCCTTTATTGATATCACAGGGTTCATAAGGCTCAAAAGGTCCACATATTCACAGGTTCTAAGGAAGCGTCGATTCACAGGAAAAAGCAAGGGTGGGAAAAAGGTTCAAAGATGAAAAAGATGTTTATTATGAATGAATCATTAGCAAAGAAAGTATCGCTTATAAATGAAAGGGTATCTCTCTAGGTAGCTAAATGGGTAAATATAGGAAAGATATCCTCCTAAAACGCCTGAACACCAAGATTAAGACATGGGAAAGACAAGTTTATGAAAGTTGTGTAATTATTACCGCCACATATCCCGGCCATGATACTCGGCAGCCGCCTGATCCATCATTATTTTCAGATCATCCGGCAGCTGCCAGTCGTTCAGGCCAAGCTCGTCGTGCATGTCGTCGTCTCTTTCGTCCACCGCGATTAATGAAGGTGATCTAC